GCCAGAAGAGGGCACCAAATTGAATTGTGGATGGTTGTGAGCCACCATGTGGTTGCTGGGAATTGAACTCAGGACCTCTGCGAGAGCAGTCAGTGCTCTTAACCTCTGAGCCACCTCTCCAGCCTTGACACTCGTACTTTTTTTATAAAGTTTTTTAAGGCTGAGCAGTGGTGGCTTTAACGCCTTTAATCATAGCACTTGGGCCGGGCGTTGGTGGCACACGCCTTTAATCCCAGCACTCGGGAGGCAGAGGCAGGCGGATCTCTGTGAGTTCGAGACCAGCCTGGACTACCAAGTGAGTTCCAGGACAGCCTCCAAAGCCACAGAGAAACCCTGTCTTGAAAAAAAAGAAATCATAGCTCTTGGGAGGCAGAGGCAGGCGGATCTCAGTGAGTTTGAGGCTAACCTGGTCCACAAAGTGAATTCCAGGAGAGCCAGTACTATTACACAAAGAAGCCCTGCCATGAAAAAAAAAGTTTTTTAAGGCCAGGGGATGGTGGTGCATGTCTTTACTCCCAGCAGTCAGGATACTAAGACAGATGAATCTCTGAGTTCATGGCCAGCCTGGTCTACAGAGTTGAGTTTCAGGACAGCCAGGGCTACACAGAGAAACCCTGTCTTGAAAAACCACAAAAATAAATACACACACACTCAAAGGAACTGAAGGTCATCTTGTGATCTTTAGCTGCATACTGAGTTTGCTGCCAGCCTGGGGTACATGAGGTTTTGTTTCAAAAGGGGTTGCTGGGGAGGGCTTGGTTGTTTCTAAAGTCAAATATGTGGAGGACTATAGAAGACGGTCACTGTATGACTCACAGAGCTCCAAGTGTGTGGTTCAGGTCTGTGGGGATCACTGGGAGTCGGGAGTTCAGGTCAGAGGAGGGAAAAGCAGATACACATAGAGGAGAGGGCTGCCTTAGAGGCCAAAAGCACCCTGTCGCTGGAGCTGTTCAAGACGGCTCTGGAACACTGCTTGCCGGAGATGTTGGCAGGAAGTGTAGCACCAGAAGAGATTTGAGTAAGGTAGTTGGTCTTTGAGGGCCAGTCCCTGCCATCTGTGACTGTCCCTGTCCTCCTGCCGGCCATCCAGCCCCCTGTGCTCCCCTAAACCTACCTGGCTGCATTCCAGACTCAGATCTGGGTCCTCACTCTCCATCAGGTCTGAGGACAGCCCCCCCCCAACACACTGCCTCCTACAGCATAAAATTCTCATTATTTAGTGTCCTTTGTTGTTCTGTGATTGTCCCCATCTTACTTTGAAGACAGGTACCCTAGTTGCCTGTTACTGGATGAAAATGTACTGATCAACCAGCTGTAGTAGTACAAACCTTTGTATTTAGCACTCGGAAAATGGAGGCAGGAAGATCTCAGGTTCAAGGCCAGCCTGGGCTTTGGAGCAAATCTGAGGCCAGCCAAGGCTATATAGCAAGACCCTATCAAGCAATAACAACCAAAGACCAGGTGTGGTGGCTCATGAATCCCAGCAGAAGCAAGTGGATATCTGAATTTGAGGCCAGCTGGTCTTTGTAGAGAGATCCAGGACAATGAGGGCTACATAGACAGACCCTGTCTATAATATAACGAAAATCTTATTTCTGATGCTCTCAGGCTGCCTGCTTCTCTCCCTACCAAGATTATTTATTTGTTTGTTTGTTTGCTTGCTTTTTGAGACAGGGTTTCTCTGTGTAACAGTCCTGGCTGTCCTGGAACTCACTCTGTAGACCAGGCTGGCCTCCAACTCACAGAGATCCACCTGCTTCTGCCTCCCGATGAGTTCTAGGATTAAAGGCGAGCGCCACCACTACCCGTTTCTGCCTCTGAGTGCTGGGATTAGAGGCGTGCACCACCACCACCACCTGCCTATTAAGATAATTTCATCCCTCATCTTGTAGGAACTCTTGGCTTGCTCTTCATGGCTTCTGTAATACAGGAGTGAGAAGGCAGGAGGTAAGAGTTTAGACAAGGCAGGCATGGGAAAGTAGCTTTGTCTTGGAATACAGAGGAAGAAAAAAGGAAAATAAAGCCTGAAGGGGGGCTGGAGTGATGGCTCAGATGACTCAGGTTCAATTTCCAGCACCCACATGGCAGCTCACAACTGTTTGTAATTCTGGTTTCAGGGGATCTGACACCTTCATACCAATGCAAATAAAATTAAGTTAAATAATAAATAAAACCCGAAGGGTCAGGTTACATGATGGCACACACATTTAATCCTAGTACTCAGGAGGCAGAGGCAGGCATATCTCTGTGAGTTCCAGGCCAGCCTAGTCTACAGAGCGAATGCCAGGATAGGCTCCAAAGCTACACAGAGAAACCCTGTCTTGAAAAACAACAAGAGCCGGGCATTGGTGGCACACGCCTTTAATCCCAGCACTTGGGAGGCAGAGGCAGGCGGATCTCTGTGAGTTCGAGGCCAGCCTGGTCTACAGAGCGAGTTCCAGGACAGCCTCCAAAGCCACAGAGAAACCCTATCTCGAAAAACCAAAAAAAAAGAAAAAAGAAAAACAAGAAAAATTTCTATTTTATGCATATATGTTTTTTATGCATATATATTTTATATTTTATGCATATGGATCTTTTGCCGGCACATATGACTGTGTACCACTTTGTATGCAGTGCCCACAGACGCCAGAAGAGGGTGTTAAATCCTCTGGGACTGCAGTTACTGGTGAATGTGAGCCACCCTCTGGTTGCTGAGACTCCAACAGGGGTCCTCTGGAATAGATGGTGCTCATAAGCATCAAGCCACTCTCCAGCCCCCAAAACTAGGATTCTTTTCTGCTATTGTTATTAATATTAGAATTATGGGGCCTCACATATTTCACATGTCCCATAATTTTCACAGGACCAAATATGAGGCCAGAGTGTGGGTGACCCAGTACATAGTACCCTTGTTCCTACAGACACTGCACATATGACCCTGAGGCTGTGGGACTCTATAGAGAGACACGTCAGCCCGTTCCTCATGCTGTATATTTTTTTTGTTGTTGTTGTTGTTAAAGACATGGTGTCATTTCCAGGTCAGCCAGGGCTACACAAAAGAAACCCTGTCTCAACACACACACACACACACACACACACACACACACACACACACACACAGCAAAAACAATGTGTCAGCCGGGCGTTGGTGGTGCACACCTTTAATCCCAGCACTCTTGAGGCAGAGGCAGGCAGATCTCTGTGAATTCAAGGCCAGCCTGGTCTACAGAGCAAGTTCCAGGACAACTTCCAAAACAATACAGAGAAACCCTGTCTAGAAAAACAAACAAACAATCCCCTCCCCCAAAAACAATCACGGTGTCACGTAACCATGCTGGCTTTGATTGAAGCATGCCTTGAACTCCTGATCCCGAATGCTGGGATTACAGGCATGTATCACCATGCCTGACCTTTTAGAACCTCTTCCTAGCCTGGGACTGTGAGTCAAAAACGCCCAAGGAATTAGAACCAGTTACTGGTCTCGACAGATCTTCATGAGGCCTGGGGAGAGTGCTTGTCTGATGTCACAGAGTTCTTTGGTCTGGCTGGGACTCGGACTCTGCCTGGCCCAGGGCTTTCCTTATAATCTAGTGATTATAGAATGAACTAGAGAGCTACATGCGTATAGATAGAGACATGCCAAGAGAGAAGCCGGGAGCCCTGAGCACCCCACATTCTGGGAAAGATCCAGATAAGGAGGCCAAGACAGCCATCCCAGCTCTGAAGGCCCCATGGGGAAAGGAGCCAGGCACAGGAAGAAATCCAATGGAAAGTTGGAAGGGAGCATCGCCATGGTGTCGTGGAAAGAGTCTGGATGAGGTCTAGAAGGTCTGGTCACCTCCCTGCTATCACTTGCCAGCCATGTGATTTTGCATAAGTCTGTCAGCACCCTGTGAACCCTCTCTTCAAAATGACAGCTCTACAGTGCTGCCCAGAAGAGCAAATTAAGCAGTATGTAAGCATATCCCGCGAATGCTCCTTGCTCTCAGCACAAGCTCAGAGAGGCTCCAGCCCTTAACACAAGGATTAAATGGCAGGAGTTATGGCTCCAAGACGCAGAGCTGGCAGAAGAGTTGGGCAGCAGGCCAAGGGAGGAGGAAGAGAGCTTCAGCTTTTGCCGGGCCCCTGCTTCTGACAGCATCTCTCCGGTTTATCTCTACTTGCTTATCTGTGCTGGGGATTGAACTCAGAACTCAAACATACTAGACTGGCACTCTACTCTTGAGTCACACCACCAGTAAAGCCAGGTGGTCATCACCTTTAATCCCATCACTTGGGAGGCAGAGGCAGGCAGATCTCAGAAGTGGAGGCCAGCCTCGTTCCAGGGACAGCCAGGGATTCACAGAGAGACCCTGTGTGTGCAGGGGAAGCCCTCATAGGTTGAACTCCCAGGAGTTGGGAGAATTCCTTCACTCTAGGAGTTTGAGATTAGCTTGAACAACACACGGTGAGACCCTATTTCAAAAAATAATCTTGTATTGGCTGGAGGAAGTGGTTTTTCCCTTCACATGCCTGTTAGTAGTTGGGGTGGTGGTATAAACTTGTATTACTAAACCTCAGTGAGGCTGGGGGGGTGGGAGTTGGGGGTGTAGAGAAGGTTTGAGGCCAGCCTCGGCTACATAGACCCTCTCTCAAAACAAACAGCCAGTTATGACGGTACATGCCCATAATCGCAGCACTTTGGAGGCTGATGCAGAAAGATTGCTGGAAACTTGGGGCCAGCCTGGGCTATATAGTCAGTAGCCAAGCCTGTTACTGAATTGCTTTCTTCAGGATGAGGAAGTACTTATGGGCCTGCAGAGACAGATCGGTGAGTAAGATGAGTGGCTGCTCTTTTAGGTTCAATTCCCAGTACCCACATGGCAGTTTATACTGTCTGAACTCCAGTTCCAGGAAATCTGACGCCCTCTTCTGGTGTCTACAGTCATCACATGCAAAGTGATAGATACACATGCAGGAAAAACACCAATATGTATAAGAACAAACACAGTCTCAAAATAAAGAGATGCTCTTGCGAATAAATTCACCAAATTCTTTTTATTTTATTAAAATGTTCTTAGTGGAATGTGCATATGACTTTAGTCTCAGTACTTGGGAGGCAGATGCAGGTGGACTTCTATGAGCTCAAGGCTAGCCTGGTCTACAAAGTGAGTTCCAGGACAGCCAGGGCTATCCTTGTGCTATCTTCTCTGTAGCTTTCCTTTGTTTTGTTTGTATATGTGCTGCCAAAGTGAGCACTAAAATATTTTTTATTTATTGGTGGGGCATGGGGGTGAGGTGGGGGTGGGATGTGATTCTCTCCTTCAGCCATGCGGGTCCCTCGGGCTGAACTCAGGAGACCAGCTTGGCAACAGGCCTCTTTATCCACTGGGCCCTCTCACCAGCCCAGTGGTTTTTGACATTTGAAGAAACAGGCCTAGAAAGTGATCATGGTAGGCCCCATATCTTTCAGGCCAGTCTTCTTTCTGTGGGAGAATTATTTCCTTGGCGAACATAGAGAGGGAGATCGTAGACATCTCAAGCTGTACTCTCTGTAGGCTCCCAGCAAGGTGTGTACTGTCCCCTGAGGTTCACAGGGTGTTGCCTCCCTGTTATGCCTGACTCAGGGATCTTTGCTGACAGCAGATTAAGCTCCCTCCTCACACTGAATCGTAATTCTCAGACTGCTCGCTGTGTGAGGGCAAGGACCATGTCTGTGGTGATACTTTATGATCCAGTAAAAGCTTACCTGAAGCTTATAGTGCAAAGACAGCCACAGCCATAGAGGCCGGGCAGTGGTGGTGCACACCTCTAATCCCAGGACTCAGAAGACAGGGGCACATGGATCTTTGTGAGTTCAAGGCCACCCTGGGTTTGAGAGTGATCCAGTCTAAGTGAGAAATGAAGGTGCTCCTAGCACTTGGGATCCCATGCCTGAAATCCCAGCACTAGAGAGGAACATATTGTGGGAGGAGACAGGAGCTCGGCAGTCTGAGGTTAGGTGAGGAGCAGTGTAGTCTGGAGATGCAGTCTGAGGACGGGATCGCCCCTTCGGTCTGAGCATTGGTAGAGCTGAGAACTCTCTAGTGTCTGGCCACTCTGCTTCTCTGATCTTCAGCTTTAACTCCATTATCTGATTCTGTGCTTTTATTAAGTCCAACTAGAATTCATGCTACACATAACTGTCTTATCACCAACATAAATCTAGTGTCCAGTCCAGCACCTGGAACAGAGTAATAGGTCTTCGGTCAGTACTTAGTGAGTGACTAAGCAGGCAGAGTTGGTCAGAGGAGTGCTGGAAAAAAAAAAAGGGCCAAATTGGTTATCGGAAGTCACAAGGAGACCTGGGATGGTGGTAGCAGCCTGAGCCACCTACTCTGTAGGCTAATGCAAGAGAATTGCAGTTTCAGGACCTGCCTGGGCTACAGAGTGAGTTCAAGGCTAGCTTGGGCAACTTCATGAGACCCTGATGTTAGAATTTTTTTCTTTTTCTTTTTTGGTTTTTCGAGACAGGGTTTCTCTGTATTGTTTTGGAGGCTGTCCTGGAACTTGATCTGTAGACCAGGCTGGTCTTGAACTCACAGAGATCCGCCTGCCTCTGCCTCCCGTGTGCTGGGATTAAAGACTTGCGCCACCAACGCCCGGCCCTGCTGTTAGAATTTTAAAGGGAGTAAGAAGAGGGCTAGGGATTTAGTTCAGTGGTAAATTGTTACCTAGCACTGGGAGACCCCAGGTTCTGCCCCTGGCAATACAACATCCCCCTCACCCAGCTACATTCCCCAAAAGGAATTTTAGCTAGAAGGTAATGGGAACCAAAGAGAGGAAGGAAAGCAGGACAATTGAAAGGGAGAGATGCTAGCCCTTCTAAGTCACTGGCTTTCCTGACCCGGGAGGCTTCTGCATAAAGTCTCAGCCTTGCTGGGGTAGAAGGAAGTGACCGGAAGTAGTTGGAATCCTTCAAAGCGGAGAAATCCAGGAGAGAGACAACTTGGCTAGAAGGAAGCCAAGCGAAGGTCTAGGGAAGCTGGGGAGCTTTGAATCTGGCGCCGGGTTTGCATTTGATGCTGAGCCGGACTGGGGCACCAGAGAAGCAGCAGCCAAGGAGGAGTCTTGCTACTGGACCCCCCTCCCCCCATTAGATGGAGAACTTGGGAGGAGAGGCTTCCAGCTTCTGCTCTCCAGTGCTGCACTTGAGTGCTACTAGGTGGATCCTACCAGGCTCATCTGGAAGCGGCTGAAACCGCCTGCTGAGTGGTGACGGCAGGGCAGAGATCATGGTGGTTTCTTCCACCCCAGAGGATCTCTCTAGCTACAACATCCCCAGTGATGTTAGTAAGTGTTAAGCCATATCTAGCCACAAGGGGGCAGAAAAAGCAACCCTTTAAGGTCAGTATCCATCCAGCTCCCACCTCCTCTCTCTCACCTGAGGCAAGATGGGCGGTGCCTCACCTGGCTTTCACTTAAGAGTTCCGTTAACCCCTTCCTGTCTAGTCTGAAGTACGTCCCCCAGGTAGTTATTATTAGCAGAACTGGGGGACCAACTTTGCCCGGAGGTGGGGTGTCCAGCCCCGGGGTAGGGAGGCCAGGGTAGAGGTGAAGTCAGGGTTTCCTGCAACCCAGACCCCTGTCCTTGTCCTAGCTGGAGCTCGGGGAGATAGAGTTCCTCTGACTCAGATGGGTAGGAGACCACTCAGAACAAGAGAGGCAAAGGAAGTGGTCACATGCCCTGGAACGTCTGGGACAAGCTTTAGTGGAGACAGCTCAAGCAGCTTCAAAATCCAGACTTCCGCCTCTCTGCGGCCACCAGTCAAGGGACTTTAGCAAGAGGGAGGTAGCCCACGACTTAATGACAGATAAGAGAGGGTGGGAGCCGGAGGCAGGCAGTTCAGACCAGGTTCCAGAGCGGAACGGATTCGGCAACTGTCAGGTGCCGGCTTTGCGCGTCGTTCCTCCAGTCACGGGCCGCCTTTCAGGGCTCAGATCAGCCGAAGTTCCGGGACTGCGTTCCGGGCCTTAGCGTGTTAAACTGTGGGAGTGGGGTCCGGAGTCCCTCCCTCCTTCGTGAACCAAGTGTCACCACCTCCAAGTCCACCAGGCTGGCACGCTAGGAGTTAAGTCTGCCCGCAATCTGCAAGACTGGAGCCAGAAGCGGGGAGAGGGGGAAGGTGGGGGAGCGAGGAGATGGGGGAAGCAGACTGCAGGGAGACAGCGCCAGGAACCCCCTCCCTAGGGACCTGGCCCCTGGGCCCCCAGCCCCAAAAGGGGCCCTGCCCTCCCCGGGGTCGCGCTCTCTTCCCCCGCCCCGACGCCCCCCGCCCTCCAGCTTTGTGTCCCCAGGAGGGTGGGCTGCAGGATTTCCAGCCAAGCCTTGGCTGCCTGCTCAGTTTTTCCAAACCCTCCAGTCGGAGAAGGCGGGAGCCCTGTCAGGATAAAAGTCCCTCCCCCCTGCCCCGTCGGCCCCCTCGCCCAGCCTGGAGTTTCCTGCCCCCGAAGCTTTCCCAAACTCCTTTCCCTTTCCGACCCTGACCCCAGCGCCCCCTAGCCCCACCTCTACTGGCTCCCAATTCCAAGTTCAGGTTGGAGGGGCCAGGTGGACTCCACAATCTTAAGAGAGGCGCTGGTGAGGACGCTCGGTAGGCCGACCCTAAGACCTGCGGGGCGCCGGCCTGACTCCCAGCCTGAGCACGCCCCAGCCCAGGATTCGGCCTCTGGGCCACTGGGGAGGGTGGCTCTTGGGGTCTCCCGCTCCCGGAAGGAGGCGGTGCTGGGACGTCGGCACGGCTGGGCGGTAGGGTCGGTGCGGCAGATGCCAGGCCCTAAGGCAGGCTTCGAGGAGGGGCAGTGTTCCCAGCGCTGGCACGGTTCTGTCCAGAAAGTCTATTATATAATAATCACCATCTATCAGGAAGCCAGGCAGCTGGAGAGAGCGGGGAAGCCAGGATGCCCGTATCCGCGCCTCATCCGGGGCCCAGAAAGGTGTCTCCACCAAGACAGGCACAGTGTGGGCACAGCCCAGCGGTCAGAGGATGGGGGGGGGGGGTGTCCAGAGGCTAGTGAGGGGCTCTGGGCAATCTGGCTGCAGCCTCGAAAACCCCACCCTCAGAACTCTGACAGGCAGTGCCCCGAACCAATGATTGGAGTCTCTGTGGGGCTTGAGGTTAACCCTTTCTTGGGTCCTTAGTTGCTTCAGAGTTTAGAGTCCTTTCCACAGAATTTCCCCTGAACGGCGCCCACCTACTCGGGCTAGTGCCCGCTGGAGAGGAATGCCAGCACTATCTGTGCATTCTGATCACTCCAGAGACAGGAAGGTGGTAAGCTCAGATAACAAGCTTTCCTGGGCTCCCTCTCCCCACCGTCCAAAAGTAAATTTTATTACAAGATGCGGTCGTGGGTTGTTTCCAGAAACAGCCTCGGGCAGCGTCGGCACAGCGATGTGGCATCAGAAACAGGGATCTTCGTGCGCTTATATCCATGCCGCACTTTTCCTGGCCAAAGCCGGCATGGGCGCTCACTCACTGGCACACCTGTGACATCCGTCGTGCTGCAGCGACACACGGAAGCACGGTGGCTCCCCTAGTTGGCCAGTAGAGGGAGCCGCTCGATTCCAGCAAAGGACCGCCTGCTCCCCCTTCCCGGCACTTTGGCTCCAGGGTTCCACCCAGAACTCGTGGCTGCCCAAAGCTGGGCTCTGGATACAGACCTGGAACCTACATTGGGTGAATGAGTCACAGCCACACCCAGGAGAGCGCTCCACATGGCTGCTTCACGGGACATACCAACACTCTTGGGTTTTGTTACGTACTACATCAGGGACCCCTGCAACCCAGCCACCACTCCCCTCATACTGATTTCTGAACCCACTACGAACAGGGCTTGTGCCAAAAGGGATCATAAGAAGGGCTGGGCTTGGTGGTGTATGTTTTCAGCACCTGGGAAGCAGAGGCAGGTGAATCTCTGTGAGTTCCAGTCCAGCTTGCTCTATGCAGCTAGTCACCGCTGTATAGTGAGACCCTGTCTCAAACAGGGCCAAAGTGGCTTGTCATTTATATGATGGGGAGCTGGCCCCCGTAAATAACTGCGAGGGTCCTGTTTGTGAGCTGGTCCTCTGCCTGTGGTCAATAGTATGTATACTCTAGAAGCCCTAGAGAGAGAAGAAACCCAGCTTCATTGGTCTGTTCTCCTAAGTGGAGGGAACCTAGAGATCATCAACTCTGGGCTTAAGTTTGTTTGTTTTCCTTTATATGAAGATAGACCTACATATAAAATAAGAACAAAATATTTCTATTAAAAAATGGTCATAGTCTCTGGGCATAGTGGTCCATTCTTTTAATCTCAGCACTTGGGAGATCTCTGAGTCCAAGGCCAGCCTGATCTACATAGTGAGTTCCAGGACAGCCAAGGCTACGTACGCACTGCCTCAAAACCAAACAAAAATCAACCCAAAACATGGTCAGCTGATAATGCACACAAAAATGCTCTGTAAATTGTAATGGTATCACACATGGTTTACACTCCACTTCCAGGGCTTTTGTTAATTTTTATTTTAGGTAGAATTTCACATTTGCCCAGTTTTTGCTTAGGTTCCATATGTAGCTTAGGCTGAGGGTGACCTTGAACCCCTGGTCCTCCTGCCTCCACCTCCCATCATGCTGAGGCTCTTCATTCAGGGCTTATGCCCCCTTCCTCCCTCTGGGCCTCCCAGATCTAGCCTGTGCCCAGCTCCTGGCACCACCAACCCTTCCAGTCAATATTCCCTGAAGCCCTACTGTGGACCTGACTGACACTTGAGTCCTGGGACTTCAGAGAATGAGAGCTGTTGATCTGGGTCCTAAGGGATCGTTTGCCAGCCAGATGTACAGACAGGAGAAAGAAGTCATGGAGGGAGTCAGCACTGGTGGGGGCATCGATGGGACAGGTGAGCTGGTGGCCTCTCTCTGAAGCCGTCGGCGCCTGTCTCCGGTGATATATAGAAGGAAGGTGCCCTGTGATAAGAAGACTTGAATTCTAGTCCTGTGTTCATTACTTTCTAGTAAGTGCCTAAGTCATACAAGCCTCAGTTTCCTCATCTGTGTAATGGGGCTACAGCACCTTTCCTGTAGGTTTGTGGTAACCATTGAGATAACATATGCCATGCTTTTAGAAACTGCTTAGAATTTTTTTTCTTCCATGTGTCTACTGTCTCATAGGAAGGTGCTTATGCGTGTGTGTATGCTGTGAATGTACGTGTGAAGCCTTTTGATATTAGGGAGAGTTTGAGAAGACAAAGGTTTCATTTCCTCAAACATTTTCTTAGCATCTAATTTGCACTGCTGAAGGTTTAATTGAAAAAAAATTCAGTCTATGTCTCCAGGGGGAGGGGGGAATGCTCTCAGTGCATAATGGATGTGGGTGGGTACAATAAAGAGGGAAACTTTGTGTGTGTGTGTGTGTGTGTGTGTGTGTGTGTGTGTGTGTGTGTGTGTCCAGGCAACTCCCACTCTTTCCAAGCCGTGCAGATAGGAGGGTAGGTTTGTCAGACCTCTCCATTGCCTCGGATGCTGTGGGTACTTCTCCCTAGTCCTCAGGAACCCGGGGAGGAGAGGTGGCTTGAAGGCCGCTTCCCCGCCCAGGGCAAACTGCCTCCTGCTAGCCGGTCGGGCGCCTTACCGAGTCAGACCACTGGGAGGCTGGGGGAGCCGGGTTGGGCGAGGAGTCGAGCGAGATGGGGGAGCTCTTATTTTGACAGGGGCCTCTCCCGGCTCTGGTATGAAGGCAGAAGGAGGCAGCCAGAGAGCCCCGATGCTTATTCAGGCTGGGGAGAGGAGCCGAGTGGAGGGGCGAGCGAGGCTCCGGCAGTGCAGGGGAGCCCGGGGAGGCGGCGGCGCGCGGCGGAGCCAGTGGCCGGACATGCCCCGGATCCGGGGCCGCTGCAGCACCGCCGCCGCCCGGAGCCAGCCGGCCGGACGCCCGCACGCCTGGGTCCCCTGGCGCCGCGCCGCCCCGGGGCTGCGACCTGGACCCTCGGCATTCGACCAACAATAAGCGCCTAGACAGCCCCCTCCCCGCCCCGCGCCCGCCGTCCCCGCGGGCCTCGGGGAAAGTGAAAGGAGGAGGCGAAGGAAGGAAGGAAGGAAGGGAGGAGGAGGAGGAGCAGGAGCGGCAGCAGCCGGAGCCGTGAGGTTTGGGCCGAGACCCCAGCCCGGAGCCCCGGCCGGGCCGTGCGCTAGCTCTCCCGCCGCTGCCGGCGCCCAGGACCATGCCCCGCGGTTGGGAGGCAGGAACCCAGGCAACCAGCGCCTCCCGGATACCTGCTCGCGGGCCGGGCTGGTATTGAGAGCCAAGCGTCCAGGATCAAAAGATCACCGCCTGCCGCCTTCTCCGTGTCTCCACTGTCCTGCTGGAGGGTCCCAGTCCACCCACCGACCCTGACCTGGTTATGGCGTCCAGCTCCGGCCTGGCGTGAGGACCCCCGACCGGTGCGAGGTGAGGGCCGGGTTGGGGCAGAGGGCTAAAGTCATGCCAGGCCACCAGGCGCGCGCCAAGCGAGATCCAGTTTAAATCGGGGAGGGGAAGCTCAGTCCGATTGTCTCTTTCGTTCTAGCACGCACCCCTGGGCTGTTTAGGAAGCGGGGGACTCCTCCTGGGTCATTAGAGGATATTCTTAGTTCCTCACCCTGGCTGGCAGCCCGGGAGCACCAGGAGAAGGGTTTAGGGGCAGCCAGGGGACCCTACTACCTTAGCTCAGAGAACAAGGCCGGCCTTGGGCCAGCTGGAGCAGGGAACTCTGCCCTGGGGGCTTCTGGGAGATGTAGTCCCCCTCCCGGGCTCACTAACTCTGTGGGTCCCAGCACCTCCGCACTGCTCCCCTGACTCGTGGAGCCTCCTGCGGGAGGAAGGTGAGAGCTGGGGTCCTCCTCTGCCCCCAGGCACTGCCTCTGAGCCTTCGGAGCCTCCCCTGCCTAGGATTCTGAGAGGTGTGGGCTTGGCTTGGGGGTGGGGCAGTCGCACAGTTCCTTGGAGCGTTCCCTGTACTGCCTGGGGATGGTGGCTCCTTCCTTGATCCGAAGGAACGCGTTCGTGGGGGGAGACGTGAGGAAGAGAAGTAAGACTTAGGCCTCCTGCATGGCTAGAGTAAGGTCCTATCTGAGGACTGCTGGAATTTGGTTTTAGGAGACAGGGGGTCCTGCCTTCCTCTTTCCCTCTTGGAGGCAGAGAAACAGAACATCCCTTAAAGTCCGGGAGTCTACAGTGTGTCTCTCTGGACTAGCTTCTGTCTGTCTGTCCAGCTTCCTTCCTTCCGGGTTTTTCTGACACCCCCTTCCTCCCTCTTCCTTCGTCTGTCTGCTGCTTGGGGTATGTGTTCATGTATTGTCTGGGGGACCTCTGCTCTAGGAGAAAGTGTTGTTGGGGGGCGCTCGATGTGTCCCTGAGGCCCCCCATCTTTTGCTCCTCCTCTCTCCCTTCCACTTACGGCTTGGTGTTGTGTTTTCCCTGGGAATGCTGCCTGTCTTGTATCTGCTACACTACCAATGCCTATACTTCCCCTTCCTTCTCCCGTGTCTCCTCAGCCTCTGCAGGGTCAGTCACTGCCCTGGGGCAGAGTTCCTCTGCTGCTGGCCAGCGTGGGCTTGCCTGTCTTCTCTGGTCCAGAGCATGGTTTCATGGCTCCAGGGGCAGAGCATGCTCAGTCAGCTCTCAGGTCCCACAGTTGGAAGCCTCAGGACAGGGTGAAAACGGTGAGAAGCAGGGAGGGAAGGGGGACTCTGCTACCAGGAAGAAAAACACTATTTCCCTCAGGTGGTTCACCTACCTGGCTTTGAAGGATCACGGTCCTGGCTACCTCCCTGCAGGGGTTTCTTTGCTAAGCACTATTGCTCTTGCTTGGGATGTGGTGGAGGGCTCCTGAAGAGGCTGGTGGCTACCAGAAATCTGGAGTTAGAGCATAAGTACTTGTTCAAAGTTCACATAGCACCTATGATTGGTTAGCAAGTCCCCAGTAGCTGTGTTATGCTGAAGCCTTAGGCTGAGTTGGGGTGGGGGTTTCAATTTCAATAACCATGCAGGGCAGTAGCTGACTGGGCAGAGACCTAGAGGGTGGCACTGTCAGCTCAGCAGTGGCTAAGATGCCTGGTACCTGCTTGAGATGAAAGGACACGTGGAACTCAGGGGGGCTGGCTGCCTTTGGGGGATGCGGCTGGGATGGCCCTTCAGGGAGTTCTGGAGTGCCACGGGAGTGCAAACATCAGGCTGCCAACAGCAGAAGCTCTGGGATAAGTGGAGGGGTCAACAGTCACCCTGCATCCTTTCATCCAGGGAGCCTTAGATAAGCTGCTGAGGGCACCCTCACCCTGCCGCCTCTGGTGCTGCCTCAGGCTGAAGTTCTGTCCCAGCGCCCCGGGGCAGCTCTAGGGAGCCAGAGTGTCTGTGTCCAGTCTTCCTGGGATCAAAGGAAGCCCGGTAGGGGGTGGGGGTGGGGGACCGATGTAGCCCTGATTCTGTGTTTACTTTCCTTGAGTGTCTCTATTGGTGATAGTGAGGTACCTGAAGAGCCTGGGCACCCAAGGATGACAGGGAAATGGCATCCCTTGCTTCCTTGTACCGAAGCCCTGGGCATTGCCTGGGTGCTGACCTGGTGGGGGGAGGGGACAGAGGGGGATGGCACCGTGGGAAAGTGGGCAGCCGTGGGAGCAAAGCGGTACAGGCCGGGTGCCCCAGGCAGGGAGCCTCTGCCAGGCCCGCTCTCCCTGGGGTGGGGCTGGCTGTTCCAGGGACTGGCTCAACCTGTTCAGC